CCTTTAGATCTCTTAAAATACCTGTTCTTACAGTAATGAAAATGTCATTAACAGAGAAAAGGATTTGAGGATGGAAGGACAATTTCCTGCTGTTTCATGGTTCACCATTTCCTTTGACTAAACTTGTTCCATTCTGTTCTGAAGAATCTGCGGGCTTTGAGCTACAGTCGCCTAACAGCTTTGATCATTCTCGTGCTATTAATATACTCTTTGTTTGGCATTGACAAGCGTTTGTTATACAAGTTATTATCGTATAGATTTCGAAACACATTGTTTACGTCCCATTACAAATTCAATTCATAATGATTTCACGGTTATTATAGTTAGAACGTGGGAAGTAATTTAAGCCAGTTTCTGCCGTTTATCTAACGTTGTTAATAAAACATCTCTGCAATATGATTAACAGTATTTCCGATGGAAACCACTGTCCAAGAGAAATGTATAGCGTTTTATATTGTTCGTAGCCATTCATTTTCTCCGTGCCAAGGGGAGAAGCTATCGGTAAATGTAATGCATTATGTATGAGTGCGTTTCGGAAAACGGAGCTTCCTTAAGATCCGCCATAAACAAGGATTGTATCTTCCCCTTTCATGTTTCTCGATGCGTTAGAAACCGCTTTTTTTTAAGAACAAACCCTCTCAAGATTGTTGATTCCATTAACCGAATAAAAATAAATATCGAAAACGAATCTTTATTCTAAAATCATTGTTACTTTAGTCGATATTTTAGAAAGCTATTTATGTACAGTGATCTCAAAGGATTTCGGATCAGCTTTGTAAAATATATATAAAAAATGTGGCAAGTACTATGTTTTCGGTATACTTCGTTAATATCAAACGTGGTATGTATGTTAGGTATACTTTATAAAACTAAATGTATGTACATACATACATATAGAACACTGACATGAAATTACTCATTTGCAACGACGTTCATGAATTCGAGAAGGCATTGAATTTAAACTGGACAAATGTTATAACCTAGCTCGCTAATGAGTGGAGATACACGCGATAATGTTAAATTAGCGGTGTAAGTAATTGTTTTAAGGGTAATTGCAGTCTGTTCATGTGGCTGCAAATTGAAAAAGTCTTATCCCGTTAACGGTTTGGCGCACCGTTAATGCATCATTTTCTCGAAGATAACGCGTTAAAAGGAAGAACAGTGCTTAAAAAATATCCCTCATGTTATTTCCTTATCGCAAATGCACTCCTAGGTCTCGTTGGCTAACATTTAATGGTACGCTATCCTTTGTCCCTGAGGTTCAATTCTATTCTTTGTTAAATGGCTTTAAAATCGTTGTCTCTAGTACTTAAGACTTCTTTTCGGTTTTCCAATTTGAGGAAATATCCTATTCTTCATAAAAGGGAAGTCCTAACGTAAGTTTCTTAAAAGATTCTTATCATTTTTTTGTCTCTGTCTACTTTAATTCTTGAAGAATTAAGAGATGAAATACTGTTTAGTAGGAGATGGATACGGTGAGGGAATATTTAGGATATATCAATCCTCATTGGATAGCAGTGGTGGCGACAGGCATGTACACTCATCTTCGACAAATTTGCATAATTGGTTTGTGTTTCGAAGAAGATAATAATCCGCCCTTCGATCCGTCGTATGCATCGGTACTTTTCACTTTCTCCGTACTGTGCCTTCTTGCCGAATATAGACTGTGGCCTAGGACCCTCAAAGAACCACCGATTCAACTTCTCTATATTTATGAAGTATGCAGAAATCTTTAAAACTCTGTTTAAAAATATATGTCACGCGATATATTAAAAGTTATTGTTTATAGATGTTAATAGCAGCATTGATCACAAATTTAACCACGCGTGCCATTTGGGTACCACTTATGCACGTTATTTACTGCTTAACTCAAGAATCCAGTAAATGCGTGAGTCACTTTTTCCATAAATAAACAAAATTTTTGATTGCATACAACTTAAAAAAATTTGTATCCAGTATTATCAGAATTTGGAAAAATGGCAGAGTCTCAATTTCTATAATAATAATTTGAGACCTGAGATCTTCCAAACTTGAACTATTTCCATGATGCCATAACTTCTTTAAGTATAGTGATAATAGTTTTAAAAGTAATTGATTTTCCTTCAGTTATTGTGGTTGAATACAGTACTGGGGATGAGTCGTTATTCATGTTTGACCGAGCTCGCGTATTACATGGCGCAAGACTACGCAGCGACGCACATGGCCTTTTGTATGTCGGTCCTCTCGTTCGTTTGGATGTTGGACGCCACCGAGTCTTTGGATACGATTTTGGACAGTTGGGCCAAGTAGTGAACCAGTAATGTTTAGCTTTATAAGACACCTGCATTATAAGAGGCTCTCAAGTAACATACCATTTACTTTAGAGTCACAATTAATGTTTTACTATATTTTTTTAAGCCCTTTTACTATTATGTTTATTATATACAATATGTTTAATATTGTTTAACCGGATAAAAATAGATAACTGTAATAAAATATGACTGGCCAAAGTTTATGATAACGATACTTATTTAGGGACCAAAGCATCGAAGATTTCTGTACGTGTAAGAGGAAGAGAATAAGCTTCGCAAATCCAGAAGTGACAGACTGGTTCGTATATAAATTTATGTGCAGCAGAGATCCCGTAGACGAGACCAAGCAGTTGGAAACGTGATTCGAATATCACTAATGTATTTAATTTTGTATTGTACGATTTTCTTACGTTTATTGATGTACACGTATATCTTTTAATAAAAGTCTGTTTTTAGTAATCATAACGTCTGCTTGCTTGAATCATAAGATCTTCTCTTTATTTGTGTACATTTATTAAAAGAATCTTTAAAAAAATAATCGATAAAAACATTGTTTAACTTCTCGATTATCGAATAACGATTGTCGTACAGCAATTCGAGATATCTTCGGCAGATTAATTAGCCAAACACTGCCCAATTTTTATATAATTCGTTTAATAAGTTATTTCACACATGAGAAAGAAGACTCGTTCAAAATGCCAAAGATGATTAGTACGATTTGGGCACTCCTGTTGAATGCTTTCGGACTTCCGATTTTTCGCACGTGTTTCGCCAACGCTATGGAAGACGAGGAGTGCGAGTCGCTTCTGCTCGGACCGCCGTTCAGTTCGGTATTCTTCAGCATTGGGGTTTACATTATCATTCTCAATTCCACACTTTTTCCACGATCCTTCCTTCGACCAAAGATGGTTTTCCTGATCCTATACGAGGTTGGTGATAACCAATTTCTAGTATTTTACATCGCAATTAAATTTTTGATTTTGTATTAATTAAAATGCAATTACGATTAATTAAAATATTTTAATTCAGTTCTTAGCTACGGCGTTTATTTTGGAATTCGCGATGGCTTGCATTTGGACACCGTTCGACGTGCTCATATCGACTACGCTACCAACGAACATCTGCTACGTAATAACAACTCTAATTACATAAGAACTTGAAAAAGATTCATTCAAATCCTAGAACGATTTTATTTAATCAGACGCTTCGGCGACTGGGAATGGAGGACGTCGCGGTCACTTTCCTGACGAATAAGTCTTTAACGACGGTCATTACTTACACTGCGGCAATTACGTTTCTTCTGCTCACGCTTCACGTCACGGGATCCGTTGACTATGCTATAATTAGGTATTTAAATTCTCCAACAAATTTTTTAAGATCGAACGATTTAATCGAACAGAAATTTTTGGTATACGTAGGGATTGTGGAGCAACGTGTTTTATTACTCACGCACAGGACAGATTGCTTGATAGACTGCAGCGGGAGTTCACGTTTCTGAAGGAAGGGCCGAAAGGGTGCCGATGTAAACTTCGCAGAAGGAGACGCAGTAAAAGTTGCAGATAATAATTCGATGCGAACCTCTGCTGATAACCGTAGGAAGCATTATTAGAATGGCAATGTACGCAAAACGTTAACTGTTTGTTTGCGTACATTGGAGGTATGTACGTACGTCCACGCGATTTTAACCAGTTCTTGACGACTTTCAGACGCTCCACGGTTTATCCTTTCACTCGCATTAACGTCACGCTTAGCATTTCCCATGCGAATTTTTGCTAGACGCTTCATTAGTTTTATTAATAGAAATTAATTTAACTAAATTCATGATTATATAATTGTATTGTGTGAAGAAATATAATGCAGTTTGTATTTATTGCACTG